GAGAGAGTGAGTGGATGGTGTTGATTGGGGGCATTGATCTGAACATTGTAAAGCGCTTTGGGTGACCTTGGTCTGTAAAATGCGCTATATAAATAAACATTACTTACTTACTTACATATGTTATATTGTAGGTGATCGGTATTCTGTAACTTAACACATTGTACACGTGTATTCTCCCAAACACTATTCTTTTAATACTGAAAGAATTGTAGATCGAAGGGTCCATGATTGTTTATGTTTTCATGCTGCGTTTATGCTTCCTTCCTTTGATTTTCTCTTTGTACAGGTGTAACTAAGGAACTTAAAGAGTCCATTTACTTCTGAAATTCAATGTTAAAAAGCTTGTTTTGATACACGCTCCAACGCTGTGTTTTGAAGCAGCCTCCTTCATGAAGAGCGACACAAGCTCCGGAGCGTCGGTATTGTTTGCCCATCACAAGCAAAAACAGATATCTCCAATTTGTAAAGCTATACAAAAAAGTTGTATTCCTTGAGCTATAAATTTCCAAAAAGTAATACAAATTTGAATGAATTTACTGTAGAAGGAGAGACACTTCATTCGTAAAGCACCAAAACAGGTCTGGGTTTTCATAAAACTACTTCATATTGTAAAGCACTGATCTGTTTTTTGGCAAATAGACAAAGTCATCACAGAACTATTGAACTTTTGAACGATATTCGAACATTCCGAGTTTCACCTGTATGAATTGTGCAGGACAATAAACTTGTCTTTCCTTTAACAGCTCATATCAACTCCCCAATAATACACACTCTCCATCGCACCACAAAACAAACTCTTATGGAGCATCAACAAGCAGTCTCACGCCCAACCTATTTGCAGTGACTAAATCTCTCCTTTTCGTCCCCAAAATAAAGTGTGCTAATGTGCCATGCTGACACTCAGAGCTGTTTTCTCACATCCACGCAGTGCCATCCAGACATAATGGATGACTCACTGTTCTCTGTGATCGCGCTCTGTTCCACTAGACTTTTGCTGAGGATATTATTGTTGAGCCAGATGTCTGAGATCTGCTTGTTTTGTGGGAATCAGAGCTGGCATCAGGCTATACATGTAAGTGTGGCGCCACCTGCTTCTGAAAGCCAGTGTCAGACCTCTGAGGCTAAGCAGGGCAGGGCTTGGTTAGTACTGTGGTGGGAGACCTCTGGGACCACCGTGGTGCCACAGTGGGATGGCTGCAAAGTGCTGTTGTGTCAAGCTTGTAATCATTCATGATCTGAAATTTGCTATAAATTGCTGTTTATTGAAGTATTTTAACAAACATTACTGAACATGTATGTACAGTATGTATTTTATTTTGTAATGTTTTGAAGTGTTTTTTGTTGCTGTTGTACACTTTTCCAAGGGATTTCCCATGATCCCAGCAAACCTCTGAAGCTGTGCAGGGCAGGGCTTGGTTTGTACTGTGATGGGAGACCTCTAGGAACACCAGGGGCCACAGTCGGGTGGCTGCAGCTGTATAATGCCGAACTGTTTTTGTTTTCTTCAGGCAGGACACTTCACCCACATTGCATAGAATGAGTCTGGTTTGTGTGTGAATGATGGTTGGTGGTGGTCGTTGGTGGAGGGGCTGATGGCACATACTTCACTTCTGTCAGTGTGCCAGGGGCACACTGACAGAAGCACACTGACTACAGTAGTAGTTTATCACCACCGTGTATGGAGTGACAGAATATTCAATTCAATTCAACTCAACTTTATTACAGACTCTAGGTCCAATTTAAAACAATCACATTTGAAGCATCTTTGAGTGTTCTTGACCACAGTAACTGATGCATTATTATGATTATTATTATCATTTCTATAAGCCAGAGAGTCAATGAATACACGTATTGTTGTTTTGAGCAAGGTCACGGCCGGCTTGATATGGACTTGTTAGCATCGTCCATATGGATGTGGCTTCTAATGATGATGAAATATGTTGCGGTTGCCGTGGGTTATTTTAGCGCGCTGACAGAACATTGTGCGTGCTTGATTGGACGTCCCATTCTCCAGGTGAAGGGACTCATCTGCTCTGCCCCTGATTAAGGACAACAGATGGACCAGAGAGAATATAATGTCATATTGTTTGCTGTTGCGTGATTTCACTTTACAGGTGAAACTTAGAATATCAACATACAATATTTCAAGCCTACATTTGTTATATTGTTGATAAGTAAGATATTTAAGACAATTTGAATATTAATAAAGTGGACTGTAATTTATATTTAGCAACGTAATAAAGGCTTTATGTATGTTACTTTGCATGTAATGAGTCTATATCATGTATTAATTTCACTTTTTGTGTCGAAATACAAAAATAAATGCATATTTTTAAGCATATCCTAATGTCTCCAGTCCAATACTTTTTTTTATTCTGGGGCAAAATTATGTTTCCTGAAGTCTCCTGTCTTTCATTTTATATGAATAAACAATGATTTAAATAGTTCCTTATTTTGACACATTCTACAAATCGACCACTCCAGCAGTCAAAACTGAAAGGCACAAAACACACACTGGTTTTAAGACAATCAGAGAATCAACTTGTAAAAGGAATTGTAGACAAATGGAGGTAAAGGCCATGGGGGAAATATAAAATTAATATATGGAACTGAGAAATGTTAACGCGCTGTTTATGTTTAGGAGATAACTAATGTTTAGTTTTACATGTCACTTAATCCTATTTTCTTACGATTCTGAAGTCAGCGGTTCACTTTTATCCAAAGTAATAGATGTTTTCAATGCAATGGACATGAAGTTCATAATATTTATCCCTTCATTATTATAGATAGATATTATAGATAGTTTACATATTACATAAAAAGACATTATTTATTCAGTCTTTCTGCCCGAAATTGAACGTCTGACTTTGGAGAAAGTAATACAAACAAAGAAAAAGATGAAGCTCTCAGTATTGTGGCCTGGAGCCAATGTTATCTATTTCTGAAATTTCATTTAATTTCATTTAATTTGCTTTCATTTTTTTTTCAGGTTCATACAGGATTCAGTTGTTTGACTTTTGAAATACAGACATTGAGCCTACATATTTACATAGCTATACATTTTCCTCTTCACCTTAGAGACCTGAAATGGAGTGGAAAGAAGTCAGATTTATATACTTCCACCCCATCTATGTACACATACATTCACTTTTAACAGCTTTTAACAACATTTATACATTGTGTAATTATTGTATAATATAATTACTATCATCCTCAATCTTCTTACACAAATGTTTTATGTTCTGTAAATAAGTTTGAGAGTAATAGAAGAAATAGAAATGGAAATCCTTTTGGTAAAATTAACTATCGAATAACTGTTGAGATATCAGGGCCATACATGCATGCAAAAGCCGGATCCCGTTAGACCTCTGAAGCTGTACAAGGCAGGGCCTGGTTTGTATTGTGATGGGAGACCTCTGGGAACACCAGCCGCAGTTGGGTGGCTGTGGCTGTAAAGTGCCAAACTGTCATTGTGTCTTTAGCCAAGACACTTGACCCATATTGCCTAAAATAACAAATGTCAACCGCTTTGTGACTCTGGTCTGTGAAAGGCGGTATATGAATAAAGATTACTTACTTACTTACTTACTTAGAATGAGTCTGGTGTGTGAATGGTTAGTGGTGATCGGAGGGGCCGATGGCACATACTGGTTGCCTCACTTCTGTCAGTGTGCCCAAGGGCAGCAGTTGTAGTTTATCACCACGGTGTATAGAATGAATTAATAATGACATCTTAAGCATCTCTGAGTATCCAAAAAAGCACAACATGCATTATAACACTTCATGGACCATTTCAAGTGAGATACATCCAGCATGTATTGGTTATACTGTAAACATCTCGGGAAGTTAGAATGTTTAAAGAATGGACTGTATGTAAACACAGGCGTTGCATACTGTATATGTCACTTTGCATGTAACGGGTCTTTAACATACTGTACATTGGTTTACATTACAAGTTGAATTAGACAAATGAGTGAACTTTTGAACGATGTTTGAATGTTCTGAGCTTCACCTGTTTATAGCTGCTATGTATTAAACAATATAGCAGTATTCTGTATTTGTTGTCCTTAGATCTAAAGTATTTCTCTCTTACCTCCCATGGTTTGCTTATAAAGACACAACTTGAAAACACACACCGACAACCTGCATGCACTCTCCCTGTTCTCTAACGAGCACGCGTGAACCCGGTGACCTTACAGTATGTGCGTCTGCGGCACAGACAGCAGCTCCCGCGCGCCTCCAGGTTGAAGGTGACGATAATTACAGCTACAGTAATCCACGAACACGCACGTAGCCGCGTATAACCCGTGCTGATTTAAAACAAAAGCCCCTGTATCCTGCAATAATCAACGCCACGCTCACTCAGACGGCAGCTTCAAATCAATGAAAACCCAACAATAATTTCCATTCTTATCTCCGCCAAACACGCACGCACGCGCACCAAAACGAGGACTGGGGGACTCAAAGACAGAGGAAGAAAGAGAAAGAAAGAGGGGGGGTGATAACAGCTTCAATAAATCATCGGGGCCACTCGCAGCTCCCCGGAGACGTGGGATGGATTAAATTAAGCACTCCCTCTGTATACCCGCGTGTCTATCCATCCCTCCATCCTCTCTCCCTCTCTCCTCCCGAGTGCGCGCGTCCTATAAAAGCCAACAGCTGATCGCCAGACGCACACGGGAGCAGCAGGCGCAGGCAGCACAGCGAGGGGAGCCAGCGGAAGGCAGAGGGGATGCTGTGGACACGAGCAGCCGGGATAAGGGACTGTGTTTGCGGATAGTGACGCAAGGACGAGCAGCTGCAGGACGCTCACTTTGTTTTTTGTTTTGTTTTTTTGTTTTTTATCATTCGCGAGTTGTGGCCGGAGCTGTCCACGGTGCTGAAGTTGTGGCGCGCGCAGTCGTGGAGCTGGAGGACTTCAGTTTTGAGTCCGAGGACAGGGTCAGGCTCGGCTGGGACCGCGCTGTGTGTGTCTTGTGAGCGCGTGTGAGAGAGCCATCATGCCGAGGTCTTTCCTGGTGAAGAAGGTTAAGCTGGATGATTTCTCCAGTGGGGACTTGGAGAACGCATACCGACACCGGGCGGACCTCAGTCTCAGGCTCCACGAGAAAGGTATGCATCTATCTCCTCCACTGCATGGCTCAGATTAAAACCGTGTTGCTGTAGGCCTACCTGTTGTGCCGCTAACAGGTGCTTGGTTTAAGATTATCAGCAGGCAACTTCTTGAATGCAGCAGGATAGTAGACATTTACGAATGCAACGTCCCATCAAGCCTGGAGTCGAGTCCTGACACTGATGAGAAGCGCAGTGCAACAGCTGCTGAATCAGCGTAATGTTATCGGGAGTTTGTGAGTGATGTCCTGAACACCACAGCTCAGCTTTAACGAAGTGCCAGTCTCAATAAGCGCAGCCGAGTCTTATTTACTGAGGGAATTCAAGCAACAGCGGAGGAGTCGGCTGTCGCTGAAGCGGAAAGGTCACTTGAGAAATCAGCTAAATCCAGCGCTCCCAGTGTTTCATCGATTTTGGCTCATAGTCAACAGGGGCTTGTACCCCCTACGCGCTGTGAGTAAGGTTAATGGAGATAAAGATGCGCTGAGGTTGTTGTTATCAGCACAACTATATGGGATGAGTCAATTAGTGGGGCGAAATTTGGGTTGTGGATATCTTTGTTTAAATTGCTGTATGCTTTCTGATGTTGATCCACAATGCACAGACCCCTCCACCCCCCACGTGAGCTGCTATGGACCTGCGTCTGTCTCTGTGACGCAGTCTCACTTAGAGACTGTGATACACTGCTGGATTTAAACGTCATTGATTGTTCATCAACACGTTTCCAACTCGTGCTGCAACTGTTGAGCTGACCTCGCTGACCCACGGATATTTCATATTAAGTTTGATTTTTTTTTGACACGCCCAAATGCGCGTGCGCTATGGCACGTGAGTCACGGCATATTGGCTCATAGAGCTAAGTGGCTGTCAGCAGTGGATTTATGAAAAAAGAAAAGAAAAAACAAGTTAACAAGCCCCCAGCTTTCTGACACGCGATCTGCCGCCTCAGCAGAGCAGACCCGTGGCCTCGGCCACCTCTGCTCTCCACCAGGCGCAGCATCAGCACGGAGCCATGTGAGAGGCTTCTGTCTGAACATAGTGCTGTGGGAATTATTCATGTCCAATCCAGTTTGTGCAATATGTTTGTAAGACGTGCACAATAAGTGGCAGGCAGCGTTTGTGTTTGTGACAGCACGCAGAGGCAACATCATAGGCTTACAGCTTGTTGCGTTCATCCAAAAGACCTGTGGACGAGCAGCCTAAACAACACTCCAGGGTATTGCAAGGCCTTTGCTTCGTCGAGGAGACAATGAGCCTACCCTCCACTTCCCTCAAACCCACGGGTCCTCATGTATTAGCCCGGGCGCATAGACCACGAGGCTGCCTCTGTAGAGCACAGTCCCGGATGTGGATCAGAGTGTGTTTTCCACGAGGCCCGTGGCTGCAGCATGCAGCAGCTGCTGTCACGGAGCCATTGACCCGCAGTGCTGGAGCTGTCCGTGGTGCTGATGCTCATTTACACTTGCTAAATCAGCTTTCTCCAGACCAGGTCAAGCGCTGAGCCGGTCTCCTTCTCACTGCACTTTTAGAGCCTCCCAGCTTCTATTTGGCCCATTTGTGCTGTTTCTACTCACTCCACTGCTGGCCACAGGTGTGCAGGCCAACACAGATGTTCTGGGAGACAATATGCCACGTCAGACCAAACAGTTCATTAAAGGTAGAACTGGCACTTACATAGTCAGAGAGGCGAGCAGTCTACTATACAGTGCATTGACAGTAAGACTATGCATATATGATTCTAAACATAATTAATCTACACAATAAGTGATACAACCTTGACTCACATGTGTGTGTTTATTTATTAGTACAGTGTTAGATTAACAACAATGACATTGAAGATAAACCTGCCTACATTGTTGAGTTCTTCTCACTCAGAATAGCTCTCACACTGAGAGGCGCAGGTGGCTTCTGGTTTACCTGCAGTAGTGTCCAGCAGCACAAGTCTAATGATGCTTTTTCCCTGTGCGGCTCACATCACAGTGTGACAGTGTGGAGGCCAGAAGCTCAGATCATGTTCTCATTGTACAAGTTGAAATAAAAGTGGAATACTGTCTGACATGATGATGGTCTGTGTCCACAGCTGGCTACATCAGTGACTACAGCTCAGTATACGACAGGGAGAGTGATGGTGGGATTAAGGTGCCCTCTCCAGACCCTTTGTACGATGGACTGCACAGTGACTATGGAGCCCCTGACTCTGAGTCTCCGGACAGTCCGGCCTCGGAGATCACAGACGCCTACATAAACGGAGTAGCAGCAGTTAGCGACGGCTACACGGTGGATGCCTTCTTCATCACAGATGGTCGCTCTCGGCGGAAAGCCCTGTCAAGTCCCCGGAACATCCAGAGGCACACCTGCAACGAATGCGGCAAAACTTATGCCACGTCTTCCAACCTGAGCCGCCACAAACAGACACACCGCTCGCTGGACAGCAAGCTGGCAAAGAAATGCCCCACGTGTGGGAAGGTGTACGTGTCTATGCCCGCCATGGCCATGCACCTGCTCACTCACGACCTCAAGCACAAGTGCGACATCTGCGGGAAGGCGTTCAGCCGGCCGTGGCTGTTGCAGGGACACATGCGCTCGCACACCGGGGAGAAGCCCTTTGGCTGTGCGCACTGTGGAAAGGCCTTCGCTGACCGCTCCAACCTGAGGGCACATATGCAGACGCACTCCGCCTTCAAACACTTCAAGTGCAAACGCTGCAACAAGACCTTCGCCCTCAAGAGTTACCTGAACAAGCACTACGAGTCGGCCTGCTTCAAAGGGCCCTTCTCTCCACTGGACCCTCTCGATGCATGACCCCCTGCACATGGACAGACTCTGCTTCACAATGAACACAATCTATTTTTGCTCTGAGACCTCGCTTCCCTCAGCCGCACACTAGCACCCTCTGTCTTTTGGAGCCTTTTAATGACCATGGACATGACAAAAATAGCACAAATTTTCTCCTTGAGATTTGCCCACTTAAGGATGAAGTGATTTTACGCATGCACTTCCCGAACACTCCTCTCTGTTGTTGGAGACAGAGACAGCTTCCTGACTGCGTCTGTTTGGACTCTGAGGATGAAAGACCAATGGGTTTGTCTGCACACCGTGCAACTTCAGAGCTCTTTTTTTTAAGGGGAAATATAGTAATAATAATATTAATAGTAATAACAATAATGTTCTGCTGCACCAAGTGACCATATTTTTGCCAATACTGAGGTAAATGCCATTTTTGAATTTATTTGTTGTTTAGCACTTTGCCTATAATGGTTCCAATTCTATTAATGTTATTTATCTGTTTATTTATACTTGATTTGTCTGCAATGTGGTTGCACTTTAATTTCCGTAGCCGTAGGTGGGGTTTTTGTTGACTATTTTATCAGGCCAAAGCATAAGTCACTTTTGTCTTATTTTTCTATTTTGCTTTGTTTTATTGATATAATTGCATGCAAAAATGATGAAATCTATGCCAACATCATAAAAAGCTTATTATTTGCCAAAATCCTATAGATAGAACCAGAGGGCAATATTTTTCTCTTGGAGCCTCCGTAGGACTCTTTAAAAGCAATAATCACTAATGCATGGTATTTTATGAAGTCGTTATGAAGTAATACCTACTACTGTATCTCAGTTTAAAATCAGGTATGTTTTACTTCAGCTATAGTCAGAAAGAGAAGAACTAATATTATCAACATCAGGGAACATGCCAGAGTAGTGTTAGAGAAACTAAAGAAACCCTGTCTATCCTCTATGTATGCACTGGCGTTTAGGCTAGTTTAGCGCTGCAGTAGACGTAGAGTAGTGGCTCCGGCTCACACCTGGCTCTCTCAAGTGAAAACACAGAGGAGCTCTGGCCTTTCTGCAGACTTTGCTGGCTCCATGTGCTTCAACTGCTGCGGAGAATAAGACACACGCAGAAACTTGCAATAACACACAAAATAGTGCTCCGGTGTGTACGGCTCTCGGTGTTCAGGTGATGTCATAGATCACAGTATTAAAAACTACCCAGTTGAGTTTAATACTGAGGTGGAGGATTTCGGGCCAATTTTGAACACATTTGTTGATGAAACCATTTTCAGACGAATTAGAATTTTGTTCAAAAGTCCATTTACTTCCATTTTTGATTGTGGTAAAAGCCATTCCAGGGACGGACACATGTTGGTGTACACTTATCCTTCCATAATATCATGATAAGTGGCTCAAAGCTGTAAAAACCCCAACGTATAGTACACATAATAAAATGGGCTGTTCATAATCATCAACCTTATAACAAACAAAGGCAAATGTCACGTTATGTGTAAATGAGTAAATGTATTAGTTTTGCATTTTAAGTTGAATTACAGAAATACATGGGCTTTGCATGATCAAGTTCAAAGGTTTGAATGATTCTTTCTATATAAAGGACAACTTTCTTGTCCATTCCTTAAAGATTCATGTGTATAAAGAGAGGACCACATTTGTAAAAGAAAATAAGTAAGTAATTTTTATTTATATAGCACCTTTTGTAGAACAGAGTCACAAAGCGCTTTACAATTGTTGTGAAGAAATAGTAGGAATCATTCATTAAATGTAAAAATGTGGGGACATATACAATGTTTAGGCACTTATAAAGCTCATGCGCATCTGAAATAGGATAGAGCAACAGTGCACCCAAACTATTTCACAAACTAGAACGTGCATTCGGAGAGCACATACCCAATCGTGTTTCTGTCGGCAATCCAGCCGACAGAAACACGCTCACACACAGACACACACACAGACACACACACACAATCTCATTAACCAATAGCGGGGTAATAAATCCAACCCTGCAAATCAATATGCACAATAATTCTTCAAACATTTTAAAAACATATACATTGACCCCTGCCCTCCGCCTGAAATTATGACATCAAAATCCTGAACACCACTTTATGAGCACTTCCAAACGATTATGTTCCAAGTGTATCTCTCTCTGACAGCCACAATGGAGCCAGACTCTCCCACTGTAGTGTGTTGAACCAGTGTATGACCCCACACTTGACCTTTGACGTTGGCCAGTGCCGGTGCTCAGAGCGCCGCTCACAGACATGAGACAGATTCATGGAGCGTCTCCCGGGGGCAGACTGAGGACACACAGTGCATGTGAGTGCATGTGGTGCGGACATGACATATGGTTCCACACAGAGAGGAGAGAGGGAATGAGAGTGAGAGAAAGAGCGAGTCTGTATGTGTGTGTGTGTGTGTGTGTGTGTGTGTGTGTGTGAGAGAGAGAGAGGGTCATAGGGAAGGACAAAGCACTTTGAGTTGCAGAAGATAAAGTCCTTGCCCTTCATCACTCGTTGCACCTATTGTGTAACTTGATTAAAGCTGGAGTACCTAACTTTGAAATCATAAAACAATTAACTATGCACAGACTATATGTCACTATAGTTCCAGGCTCTCGGACTAATCTATCACTAGTTCTTTCAAACATGTTCTTCAGCCTCTGTCACATGTCTAGATCCGCTTTTAAGGTGGAAACGAGTCCCAGCCCGAGATCAGCTTTCATTACAGGTGAAACTGAATAATGTTTAAAAGCCTATTTACTTCTGTTGAACTGTTCTTACAATGAACAGACTCATTACACAAAGTGAGATACATCGAGCCTTTATTTGTTAGAATGTTCCTAATGGGCTCACAGTTTGTAAAAACTAGAAATGTGCACAAATTACAATATTATGAAAATGGAGCGTAAGCCATAATCATAAAAAGATACATGTTTTATAAAAAGATAAATATAGCATGCTGTGGTCCAAATTGTTCACTGTTTAAATAAGACTATTTTTGTTAATGTTTTTAGTGAAATTGTTTATTTAAAGTATGCAAAAAGACAATTTCACAGAACAAATAACACAAATGTAAATACATGGTTAAACAATGTGTTGGAAAATGCAGACACATACTTTCTAATGGCCCTTCCCCATTCAACACAAGACAAGACCATCAAAAACAATAAATTTATCAGCGTGAAAATATAAAAGTAAATAATCTATATTTATATAGCGCAATACTGTACATACATATTGAAATTTCCCCACTGAGGGACAAAAACAGGTTTATATTATTTTATCTAGAACACAATACAATAACATATGGTGTATAACAAGACTAAACACACACACACACACACACACACACACATACTCAGACAAGACACAGACCCAAACACTCCCTGACCCTACGTCTCTATTCCATTACGCTGAGCTGAGGGCATCTGTACTTCCTCTGTTCTTCTTCAGTACTCCTTTTTATAAACAAGTTTTAAAAATTGAATCAGATTTGAACACTTTTGTATTTCTTTTAGTAAGTCAAAATCTGCACACACTGAGCTTCTATTCAGTCTTTATTCGCACATCCCTAAACCACAACATCAGAGGACTTTACAAAAAATCACCAACACAGATCAGAGAATCCAACATTTCAAACATATTAGCTTCACATTCATGTTAAAGTAGTTTTAAATTTAGAAAATGAATTCATAAACCAACAACAGTTAGGTACTCCAGCTCAGACACGCATTAAAAGCAGTTGCGACACGGGTCCTTAGTGTCGGAGCGCTGGCATTGTAAAAACCATTCAATCAATTTACCGAGAAGGCTTTAAAAACCTCTTCTCATGAAAGTCAATAACAAAGCGTTGTCTTTGTTGTGAGTGCTGAAATCACAATTTGACTCTCCCAATTAGACGTCTTATCTTTGTGAGCATGAATGAAGATGCAATTACTCCAAATGTGAGCGGCTGTTAGTCACGGCGCTCCGACGTGTATTTTCATCTTTCCATCAGTGGTTTGCATGCTCCCACACAGAGCTCTGTACAAGGTTAACCGCAGACCTTTGCCAAGTGTTTGAAGCCGGGCAGAAAAGTGTGTTGACGGTGTAACGGGGTGAACGGCGGCGTTGGTTTGGGACAGTCCCGTGTGGTGTGGCCATAGACTGAATACAGATGGACAATGCTAACCCGCTAGCTCAATGAAGCACCATAGGGAAGTGCTAATAGACGTTTTTTGCTCCAATTCTGTCTGGTTTCTATTGACATGCATTGACAAGTAAACTTCTCTATCTTAGTAACCGTTTGTGTTACACTCACTATTTTGAGCTTTAAAAAAAAATCCATGGTTTAGCACTCTCTATGATCTTGCTGTTTATATTTTGTCTTTGTTAATCCAGATATGAGCCAAAAACATTGACCAATCAGATGCCTTAATTCGTGGGGGAATCTCAAGCTTTCCTTAGCAACCATGTTAGAAAACCATTAGCTTGCATTTGCCCTTGCTACAGCACGGAGGACACCCTGTCGTAACAAATACCCTTACATAGATCCAAGCTCAAACAGGATATTTGAGCGTGATTGTGGAGCCATATTAAAGTACATTTTGACAGAAGCAATGGCCAAGTTACCAACGTCGCTCCCATTTTACTTATTTATTACAGATTGACCCTTGAGTTGAATCATATCTTTTTCGAGCAGGTCGTCTAATTGGCTTTTCCCACTCCAAAAAACATTGTAGAGTGCTTTGTGTGACCTTGGTCTGTGAAATGCACTATATCAAAAAAGAGAACTCACTTACTTACACACCTTGCTAGCTAAATCCAAATTCCGGCGACAGAATACTCCTGATTGGGAAGTTGTTCGGGCTCATGTCTGGATTTACAAAGACAATGTCAGGATTGCAGAGAACTCTTTTCGAAGCCTGAAATAGCGAGTGTGAAACAAACGGTTATGGAGCTTGAGGTATTTACCTTTCAAGAGCTATTAAGTTAGAGTTTTCGTATTGTCCATCAATATACAGTCTA